GGGCCAGGAGGGCTTCGGCGCTGTCGGCTGGAGCTGTCTGCTGCATCGCAGGGGACCGCGCTGACGCCGCGTCACCTACCCCGGCACCCAGGACCTCCTCGGTCCCCGAGCCACCATCCGTGCTACTGGGGGGCCAAGACGGGGCATCTAAGTCAGCGAGGGTGGCATGGAGGTGGCTGTAAGGGACCCGGGTGCTAGCGGGTGCCACCTCCTTGCTGGCATGGGTGGCAGCGGAGAGGGAGGGCTGGGTGGCAGAAGGGAGGGCAGGGGACAGGCAATTGCAGTCAGGATCTGTCCCCACACCTGAAAGAAGCAGAGAGAAGAGACGGCCGTGGGGTCACCAGCCTCCAAGAGGGGCACAGCCAGCAGATCCGAGGTCGGGGGCAGCGTCCCCGTCCCTCCCCACAGCCCTGGGTGAGCGGGTCAAACAGCCCCCCACCCCCCCAAAAATAAAGAGAGAGCGAAGGGGAGGCAGGGAGCAGGCAGGGAGCAGGCAGGGACAGACGTGGCAGCACAGAGATGGCAAGCAGCGGGCAGGATGAAGCACACCCGCATCAGCGGGTCCCCTGAGCCGATGGCAGCGCGTTATCCACGCCTGGCAGGAGCCGGACAGCCACGTTTAACGTCCCCCGTGGCACAGGGACACGGCCCAGCTCTGACACAACGGACGGCAGCGAGACGTCTCCTCCACGGGCATGCAAACACACAGCACAAAAGCACGGACGGCAACGTGGGCTCTTCCAGCCCCGCAGGCAACGCTCTCCCCGAAGACGTGGTCAGCGGAGACCGAGGCACGGGGACGCTGAAGTGACAAGGCCAAGGTCATGCAGCACTTCGGTGGCAGAGGGGTCCCGGCGCCTTGATTTCTCCATGTGACACCCGAGTCAGGCGCTGGGTCTTGGAGATGGAGCCGAGCCTGATGCCTCCAGCCGGGCCGACGGAGATGCTTCCTCATTCTCCCTCATCATCATCTCTCTCCGGCCTTGTTTCCAGCGGGATTCAGCCCAAATCCCACCTCCAAAGGGCGGCCAGCCCCTTCTCCCAACCCCAGCTTGACACAGACGCAGAGCTCGCCGACACAGCCACCCCGTGGGGACGGCCACCAGCCGAGCGACAGAGAC